AATTAGTGTGTAAATTTTTATTTTCAGTATTATTCAAGTAGTATTAAGAGAAATACCCATAAAAAATGAGGTCCATTTTTTCACTTTGTTTAGGGATTTTGACCAAAAGCTAAGTTATACTCCGTACTACGGGTACTCAATTAAAATCTAAAAAGATTGGCAACTAAAATATGCCATCTCTTTTTAGAAATATGTTTGGTGTAAACGTTTTTTGTGTACACTTGTTTGTCTACGTATAAAGACAATTCTGTTTGTGTACATATAAGAGTATAATATACAATGTGTGTTAAAATGTGTACACAAAAAAGTGTACACCAAACACTTCCTCTTTTATCCCCTACGTACGCCGGTGCATTTTATAAATAAGTAGGCATAGCAGTGTTCTAATTGAACACTTCCTCTTTTGTTTGAATCATACTATAGGTCATTTATGCATTTCTAATTACACTTCCTCTTGTATTTCTAATGATATAAAATATATACTTCCAAACAACAACAACAACATTTCAACAAGATGGTACCTGATAGGCAAAGAGGCACCCGGGGTAGTCAAATTCATCAGAATCTTGTTTCCTCATCCTCTCCGGATGGAACTGGAGCCCCATTATGAACTTCCCCTCACCCGGGTCATAACAATCCGGGTCATAGAACCCTTCGATCAACCCGTCCGGGGCAAACGCCATCGGAGCAAACCGCTGAGCCAGTTTTTTGACTCCTTGGTGGTGATAGCTATTCACCCAAATCTCCATCTTCCCCCTCTCCAATGAATCCTTAAACCACTCCCGCAACGGCGTGTCCTCGACAACCTTTACGACATGCCTATGCCCGTCGTAGTTGTCGTAATCTATGTGCTTCACGGCCTTCCGGTCTCCCTCCGTCGGGATCTTCTTGGACACTTCCTTCTCAACGTCCAGATACAATGTACCCCCACATGCAACATTGAGCACCTGAGATCCACGGCATATTCCCAGGAATGGAATATTCCTTTGGAGGCAAACCCTAGCGAGGCTAAGCTCAATGGTGTCCTTTTCCTTATCCACAGCGGTGTCGCTGGCGTGCACCCGTCGGATCTCGTCCAGCTCCTCGGGAGAGAGATCCGACGGCACACCTGCCTCGTAGAGGGACGGATCTAGATCCTCGCCCTCGCAGAGGAGAACGCCGTGGATCGGCTCGAAGCTGTCCAGCAACATGTGGACCCCAGCGACTCTCGGGACGATGACAGGGACTGCTCCATAGCTCACGATAAGATCTAGATGGTATTCTCCTAATTCAAAATCCAATCCAATGTATAAATTAACTCAACAAAAAACAGTCAAATAGAATGTGAGGAATAGACGGCGCTACGTACATACCGACGAAATCGACGAATTTGTTCTTGCGGACGGTTCTTCTGGAGACGATGAGGACTCGGGGTAGAACAACAGAGAGTTCGGTGGCCATGGATGGAAGCAGTATAGAAGTGATTAAGCTAATTAATAGGGTTTTTCCGAGAATCTCAATGGAAATGGAAGGGGTATTATTGGTATTACATTGTCAGTGCTGCGTTGATACACAGATTGGTGGAGAAGAAAAACTGGAGCGGTGTCTCGGCGCCGCGTATCGATAAACGAGGAGACCGAATTGCATGGTGATCGGTTTGTTATTCACGAGTCAAGTTTAGTAGGACCAGTCCGTTATTTCAAAGGGTCAGATTGCCACGTAGCAGCTCAGCAATATCTGATGCCGTTTTTTCACGGACGGGTCAAAGCTGCGACCGAGCTGACATGGAGATGGCCATCATTTCGACTTTGGGCTGGTCAGCAACCGTGGTACTGGTAATTGTTGATGCACAAGCAATTAATCTTTGTTTAGAAAAGAAAAGTATTTGTGGTTTCAAAAAATGAATAGTCTGCACATAAACAGTTTCGGGTCATAGATACTTCCTTTAACTTAAATGAATCAATTGTTTATGTACAAAAAATTACATTTGATATGTAACCTGACGTGTAAAACAGCGTATACAAGTAGCAATGTTCTTATGTGAGTGTCTACCCCTCTTATTTGCAAACACCTATATATAACGTGGGAGTACTCACATAGTTAAACTTAAAACACGCGTGAATATTAATTTTTTCAGTAGGAGGAAGCGGTCCAGCCCCCACTCACTCTCCCTTACGGGAGGTTTCGGGTTCAACTCGATGGAGTGAGTTTCAACTCTGATTACTTCAGACCACCAGCCCCCCTCCCCCAGACGCGCCCCTGGAGTAAAGAAAAAAACTTATTTTTTCAGTAGTAGGGTGTTTTAACTCACATGTCAAGAAATGTAACTCACGTGATGATAAATGTATTAGAGGCAAGTTGAAATGTATGTTGTCTAATATGGAGTATAAGAAATAAAACATGAAATAATTACATATTTATGACTAAAATAAATATTGTTTAAAAAAATGTGACTAGTGACTATAGTAATGAAATCATAGTCACTTATGTTCAATTTTTAAACTTACGTTACCATTACACTATATTGTAGTAACTAATAGTCATATTTGTGTAAATAAGTTTTTTTAGTAATATTTATATAAAAAATCCATAAAATATCGATTTCAATTAAACAATGAAAAAGTGTATGATGTCCAATTACATTACATATATAGTGAATATGTTTTATTTTTATTAGTACGACTATAAAAAATGATTTTTTAATTAAGAATACCATTGCTAAAGAATTATTACATTAGAAATTTGGTTCTATTAGTAAGCTAAGGGATCAACTAACTTTGTAAATGAGTTTCACTTTGATAAATTCACATTCTCCCATAAGCTTTTTCAAATGAATCATTTATCTTTAATTAAATCTTATAATCTTTTCTTGATTCATTTGTTTTGGATTATAAATGAGATATGATTAAAACAAGTAAGATATTTTAGGATGTTTTTACTTGGACTGTAATTTGCTGGTCTGGTCCGATCTGGTCTGTTTAAGTCTGGTTTCGTTTGGTCTGAAATGGTCAGATCTGATAAATGTATCTGTGTATTTATAATTTTATAAATGGTCAGATATGATTAAAACAACTAAAAACAACCTCATTCGATATCATGAATGAGTCCGTTATTTGGTCGTTTTTTTCTTTTATTGGTATTATTCGGCAATGATTTTTTCCAACGATTTTTCTAGTAAGACTAGGGATGGCAACGGGGCGGGTTTGGGCGGGGGTTAACTCCCCCATCCCCCGCCCCATGTCTAAAAAGTCCCCCCACCCCACCCCATCCCCTGCTACTCCCCGACCTGCCCCATTCCCCGCCCCACCCCATTGTCCCCCACGGGTGCCCCATATAAATTTTATTTTGTATTATTTGCATATTTATTAAAATATGCTTTTTTTTAAACTCCGCCATGAGATCATTTTTTTGGTATCATGCCTATCCCAAGCCATGATAAAGGAGGAAGGTGTTGTGGTAGGCGCGTGACAGCCAACAGTATCACTTAGTCACATCACATGACATGAATCGAAATATGAATATCGTTACAGTTAGGCCGACCCCAATATCTTTTGGGACTAATACTTGGATGTTATTGTATTATTTGCATATTTTTAACCTATTTTATATATATATATATATATATATATATATATATATATATATATATATTATATGTAGCACTAAAGGAGGTAAACTAGATAATATTGTGTTTAATAAAAGTTTTCTTGCAAAAAATTGGCGGAATTAACTTTTATTTTTTTTTTCTTGCAAAAAAAAAAAATAAAAGTTAATTCCGCCAATTTTTAATAATTCATTAATTTGAATAAGTTATGTGAAGATAATAAAAGTAAAAATGTAAGTAAACATATTATCAACTTGTATGTCTTTACAGATTTCTCATCAATTAAAATACAATTAATTATTTATATTGTACATATATATATGCATATGTGTGTGCTATTTCCTCACTTTCTCACTCTTAAAACACATCTAACATTTTTGATAAGTATTTTCAGTCATTATGTACTCGTATTAATATTCTAATATAATAATATGCATTAGTTTATTAACCGTGACTAAACACACACACACATATATATGTATATGTATATGTATGTGTATGTGTATGTTATATACAACATATAATTTAATTAAATATGTTTATACATTATTTATATATGTATGTTGATATGTGTGTGTATTATATATTTTGAGTTTATATTTATAACGGGAACGGGACGGGTGTAGCAATCCCCGCCCCATATTTTACTGAGAGATAAATATCTCACCCATCCCCATCCCCATCCCGCCCCAAACCCCACCCCATCCTCCCCCAACGGGGCGGTTCCCCACGGGCCCTCGCCCCCATTGTCATCCTTAAGTAAGACATTTGGTGGAAAGTGTACTTTCTCATGGCAAAGTTTTTTAAATGGAAAAACTTTTTAATTCCAAGATCAAATCATCTGCAAATCAGTATAGTTCAGGACTAATAACGGATACAATTGAAAGTTAAGAAACTATGTAAGTGCCTCTTTGGTAGCCATGATTTTTGACTTTTCAGGCTTATAATCAATTTTTTTCACCAAACACATAACTTTTGGTTATACGGGTTGAATTATGTAATAATAACAAAAAGCAACATTTCAGTTATAACGGATTTCAATAAAATCCGTCAACGGCCGATTTGGCTATTAGCAGTAAATCTCCCTTATGTTTGAAGCTGCAAGGTGGTCCATGATTCAATGCAGACTACAGATAATGCAAAACAAGTTGGTTCTCTATAGACAACCTAGCAGTATTATTATTAATTTGTGGGCCATTCACCCCCACCAAATTCAACAAGATCCTCATCTTGGAGTATTTCTTGGCCTAGCATTGAACTCAACTCCCAAAAAAACGTCCCACACAGGTACGGCCTTAATTAGTGTCAGCAACATCACATTCAGATCAGAAGCTGTTAAGTTCATGCATGCCAACTATTCATGTCTTTTCTTCCTCCCTGTCCTGCCCTGGCCTTCTCACATTTAACCCTCACCTTCCCTAGTTGAAGGTCTCTACTTCTGATTTTTTTGTTATCAGATTATGGATGAAATAATGGAAACACCATCTATGGCCAAAGAACTAGAAGCAGCAAAGCGGGTATTATCTTCCCTTAAAGAAGAAGGCTTCAAATGCATGGCTTCCCTAGACGATATAAGAGGTGAGTTAAAGCATGTCTCCTATGAGAAAGCTCTGTCAAAGAAGAAACAACAGAAGTCTGACTTAATCATCCAGAAACTCAACTCCAAGCTTCTACAAGCAAACGCCAAGCTGGAAGCCACATCTTTAAATCAAGAAAAAGTCAACTCCCTCTCCTCAAATCTTTCCCTCACTCTTGAGCAGGCAGAGGAAGCAGCCGGGACTGCCCAGAAAGAAAGCTGGACTGCCATGGAAGAAACTGCCAAGATTAAAGAAGAAATCAAGGAAATGGATTTGGAGACAAGTCTGGCTAAGGAGAAGCTACAGGCTGCTGTGAAAGAGCTTAAGAAGGTGAAGTCATCAGAAGGGAGTGCACTGGAGAATCTAAGAGCAGTTGTGGGAAAGACAGTGATGGAAAGAGCTTCCATGAAAAGCTCCAAGGTGGTAATCTCGAGATTTGAATTTGAATACTTGATGGGGAATGCGGCTATGGCAGAAGAGATTGCAGACAAGAAAGTTGCAGCAGCTGAAGCTTGGGTCAGAGCTTTGAAAGAAAGCGAGAAGGAAATCTTGATGAGAACTGAAATGCTGGAGAGGGAGGCCAGAGAGCTTAAGGCAGATTATAGGCTTCTTTTAGAGAAAAGACTTCATGCCAAGAAAATCAACACTTAGATATCAGCTTTTTCCTGGGATATTGAGGATACTTGCTAGGGGTTGCCATGTTTTTTGACTGGAAAGAGTTCTAGCTTGGGAGGTAAAATGGCTTATGAGTTATGAGGCCATCTCCAACAGTTAACACCATTTTTTACACTAAAATGGTGTAAACATCACATCAAACAGTATTTTATCTCCAACAGTTTACACTATTTTCATCACCAAAAAGGAATATTCTCTTTTTATTCTTTTTACTAACTTTTTACCATTCTTCTATTTAAGTATCTAACTATCATATATTTATACATTAGCCCCTCATTTAATTGTAATGGGGTTATTAATTGTAATTTTAATTATGCTATTTCTTTAAGTACCATTTGTATTCTGTTATAATGTTGTTTGGATTTGAAACTTTATTTATAATATTGTGTGATTTAAATTTTATTATATTTTTTTATATCAAATTAATAATTTTAATTTGTTGTTCTATAAGGATGTTTTTACTTGGACTGTAATTTGTCTCGGGATCAGATCAGACCTGATTAGACCACACTTGGGTAGTTATAAAAATACAAAGAAATCAAACCAGACCACATCATTTCAGATCAGACCAGATCAAATCAGACCAGACCAGACCAGAGCGGACAAACCAATTTCAGTCCAAGTAAAACATCCTAATTTGTTGTTTTAAAAATGGGTCAAAACTATAATAATTAAAAGTTGAAGGTCACATTTAAAAGGAAAATAAATTAAAAAAGGTGGATGGTGTTGAGAATGGTGTACGCCATATATGGCGTGAAGCCATCTCCTCTCCACCAAAATGGTGTGATGGTGTGGAGAATGGTGTGATTGTTGGAGAGGATTTTTGGCAAATACACCAAAATGGTGTGTGATTTGGTGGTCTCTTGGAGATGGCCTGAGCCATGGGAGTATGTGTGGCTTTGTTTGGTGGTAAAATGGCTTATGAGTTATAAGCAATTTTTTGGTTGGTTTAATTTGACCAATTTCAACTAAGCTAGTTGAGTAGCCAAAATGAGTATGTCTTAAAAATAGCGATTCCAAATAGATCTTTTATTTGCTAAAAGTTGCATATAGCAGCTGTAGACACACCTCATTCTTTGTTTTCTTTTGCTTTACATCTTTAGGTTAATCGATTTAGTTATTCCTCCAAATGGTTGAATCGGCTCTCCATTCCTCGTTCCAATGAGACATGAGAAATCGTAAATCACACGGGAGTTGTAAATCGTAAATCGCAAAGTCAAAAGTTTTTTAAAATGGGGTGCAAAGTCCAATATCAACCAAAAAGTGGGGTGTAAAGTCAAATTCTCCCGAGTAATAAACATTTTTGTTATTAATATTGTTTATTAGATACTCTCTATAATTTCCTTGCTTTTGCTTTTTTTCTTAGCTTTTGGCAATATGGCACACCCATTCTAAAAGGCCGGGTTAAATATGTTTTTAGAAAGGAAATCATCAAACTCTATTAATTCAACCGGTCAGCAAAATGGATAACAAAGAGTTTATACAGCCTTTAAAGTCATCATACTCTTCTTTACTTCACTAAACTCATAACACTCGAAAAGTCATCTCATTTCTTTATCACATGTATAAGAAAGTTCACCCGAATCCAAGTTAAACTTTTCACTGAACATAGGAACGCTTCAAGATAAATAATAACCTTATACATCCCAATGCTGAGAAAGCAACGTGACATGAAAAAGGCTGTCAAAAAAGGCGGTTATTGTATAACGGTCTTATACATCCCTACACTGTAAAAAAACAAGGTCAAAAGTCTAACCGAAAAATAAAGCTTAAACTAAAAATAAACATAGGGTTTACAATTGTCCAAATCCTAGCCACTTATTCACTTCATGATGGTTGTTCAGGAAGGGGAGGAACCATAAACACGTCACCTTTTTCTTTCAAGACTAGACAATTGTAGGCATGTTCAGAACCATCAAACTCGGCAAATTTCGTGTTCATCGCGTTCTCGGATGGAACCTTATTTATGATTTCAGACTTTGCACAACTTTTCTATAACACGATGGTACCCAAACTCGTAAAAGTCAACATAACTAACAAAATTTTATTGAAATTAAAAAGTACTTGAAAGGTTAGTTACAACTACAATTTTTTTCAAAAAAAATATAGTACTTTTTAATTATTTTATGAGAAAAAGAGAAAATAAGCCCACATACTAACAAAAAAGGTCAAATAAGCCCTTATATAGGTAGGAGGCTCTGTCCGGTCATCATCATTTGATCTGAGGCGGTTCCCGGTGGAATCTTTTGATGATTTTTATAGCATTTTATTCATAAAGTCTAGTTTACTCATATCAAATTTCAGTTAAAACTCCAATCGAGAAGGCACTCAAATGAATTCTTGAAGATAACTGCGAAGTTAAAAGCGCAGTTATCTTAGAGAATTCATTTAAATGCCTTCTCGATTGAAGTTTTAGCTGAACTTTGGTATGAGTAAACTAGACTTAATTAATAAGATGCTCAAAATTTTTTATCAAAGAATTCCACCGGGAACTGCTCCAAATGGAGACGGCCAGACCGAACCTTCTATATAGGGGCTTATTTGGCCTTTTTTATTAGTACGTGGGCTTATTTGACCCAAGTCCCATAATTTTATTTACTCATAGTTCCTTTTGATTAATTAGCTTTTTTTTTGAAAGGGAAAGAAACTTATATTAAAATGTCAAACGAATCAAGAGTTACAACCAGTCAATAGCTAAAAATCCACCACTTATCTTCTAAAAAACTCCATCTAAACTCAAGAAACATCCCACGATCAGACTTTTAGATAACCACCTCCAAAAAGCAGTGCGAATTGTTGACCATCAAATAGGAAATAAAGAGTTCTTTTCGAACTTTAAGGTCACCGTACTCTTTACCAGTTCACTAGACTCATAATAGCCAAAAGGTCCCCTCAGTCCCTGATCAGGAATAAAAAAGTTCACCCAAAATTGAGCGAAACTTTTCGCTGACCATGCTGGAACTTTGAAGCAATTAAAGCCTATAGAGATTTCTATACTTCCGATCATAGATAAACTAGATCACTTAGGACTCCCACTAACACAAACAATACGAAAATAAGGTATACAGTGTATCGAAATAAAAATTAAACTTGAAATAAAGCTAAAGCAAACCCTAGCCGCTCGTTCATTCCATGGCAACAGCTCGGAAGGAGGCAGATCATCAACACTTCATCTTCTTCCTCCAGGACCAAAAGATCGAAGGTCAAAGCATATGACGATGTGCGTATGGGGAGTTTTGCCTGATCACCGTTGCACCTTAGGCGTTGATAGAGAAACAAGCATCTTCATCCCCATGGCAAAGGAAAGAAGTGACTGCACGCTTATGCGGCGGTAAACCCTACATGGGCAAATTAAACATCTCTGTGAGGGAGAGAAACTCTCAACCCTGACCAAACCCTAGATACAGTGTTGCTTATAATTACTACCTCCGTCTCGTTGGAAGGTTCTCATAGCAAAACGACACGGTTATTTAGACAATAATTAAATAGGGTACTTCGAGTATATTTTGAGAAATAATTTTAATAGGTATATATTATAATGTAGTTAGTATTGATAATTATGATGTTATAAATATATTATTTTAAATATTTAATGATTCATTTGTCACTTAAGATTGTTAATTGTTTTCTAAAAAGGAAATGAGAACCTTTACATGAGACATTTAAAAAGGGAAAGTGAGAAGTGGGACGGAGGAAGTAGCTTTCTTAACAAAAAGAAATGCAATACTCAATGATTGGTTTTTTCTTTAAAATCACAAGGAAGCCCTCGACAGGTGATTTTAGTTACAAGCAAGCCCACCAATTGATTTGTTGTTCTTTGAAGTAGTGATGTATAGTCACTTTACAATAATTCGGAAAATGTGTAGGAATTGTCTTAGTGTATATACATTATAATTTATAAGTAGTAGTGATGTATAGTCACTTTACAATAATTGGGAAAATGTATGGGAATTGTCTTAAACGTACATGATATGTGGTGCATTTTGATTATATAACATGACACGAGAAAGCAACATTCAATTTTGATCATGGATATATTTAATTTTTATTAGCAAATATTATGTTGTATACAATTAAAAATTTCCTGAAAATTTTAAAATGAAAGAAATTTAATGGTATTGTTGAAAATATAATTTTTCTATACATCAATAAATACAAAGTAGAATTACTAGAATATGTGAAAGTTGTAAGAATTTATAAAAGAAAGTAGTATAATGCTTCATGACTTCTTCTAGAGTACTTATAAATTGTGGCCACAACCTTCAAAATATATCATCCCATTTATACATGAGAAATGTTCTTTTTAAAATCATCTCATTTATACAAATAAACCCCACATATTACTTCCACATTATTATTATGGGTTTTAAAAAAAAATTCTAAGATAAAATTTGTTTATTAATACTTCCTCCGTCCCGGTTTGGTTGTTCTACTTTCCTTTTTGGGTTGTCCCAAAATGAATGTCTTGTTTCCTTGTTTGGCAAGAAATATGTGGTCATTATCATTTCTTCTTATTCTACTCAAATAATCTCAATCACAACTTTTACTTTTCAACCACTTTATTAATAAGAAATAATTACATAAATATGACCAAAATAAAGATGATTTACAAAAATATGACTACTTACTAGAGTAGTAATAAAATCATAGTAATTCATGTTCAAGTTTTGAACTTAAGTTACCACAATACTACGTTGTAGTAATGAATAGTCATATTTATGTAAATAAGTTTTATTTTAGTGATATTCTTGTAAAAATCCCTATTAATAATCGTGCCAAATTGAAAGTGGACAACCAATATGGGACGAAGGTAGTAGTTACTATAATGAAGCGTTATGGTAACTTAAATTTTAAAATTGAATATAAGTTATTATGTAATACTCCCTCCGTCCCGTTAGAAGGTTCTCACTTTCCTTTTTTGGGCGTCCCGTTAGAAGGTTCCCATTTCCATTTTAAGAAACAATTAACAATCTTATGTGACAAATTCGTCACTAAATATTAAAAATAAGGAAAAATTGAAAATAATAATCCCAACTATTGCTGGTCCGCTGATAATAATCCCAACTATTGATTATTTTTGTATAATCCCAACTATATGGACCGTCCGCCAATAATGGTCCATGACCAGATATTACCTCCTAAAAAAATGAATTTTAAATAGAAATTAAGTGTAAAAATTTAGAGCCCGTTTGGAGAACTCTGTTTTCGGCTTATCAGGCTTATCAGCCAGCTTTTTCACCAAACACGTAACTTTTACTTTCGCGCGCTGAATTGTGTAATAAGCCGAAAAAGTAAGGTTGAAGTTACTTTTCTGGCTGTATTGGCTGAAGTTACTGTAGA